TGTACCAGTTGAGGTTAACAAGACTGGCACTAGGATAAAGTGACACCATGTGTCCCCTGCCATGCTGCCCTGAGGACACAAATCACCTCTGTGAAGTTCATGCAAAATCCTCATCTAGTTATGAAGCAAACCTTGACAAATTGAGGGACAGCCGATGAAACAATTGGTCTGTCCTCTTAAGATACACGGAGGTCACGAGAGGTAGAGGGACTGAGGGACTCTTTCAAATCAAAGAAGACTGGAAACAGGCGAAAAAAGAAATGAAGTTTATAATTCGCTACTTTCTTTTGCAGACATTATCTGGATATTTGGGGATCGCTGAATAAGATCTATAAATTAGTAGCTTTTCATCACTGTGATAAAACACCTGAGATAAACAGCTTAAAAGGGGGAAAGACTTATTTTGGTTCAGAGGTCTGAGCCTCAGGCGAGGTAGGACATCATGGTGGGAAGAGCCCGAGTCAGAGGAGGCTGCTCATCTCAGGAAGCAGAGAGAGAAAGGAGGTGCCCGGGATAAGAGAGACCCTCAAAGGCAACCCCTTCATGACTTCCTCCAGCCAAGCCCCACCTCCTGCAGGACCCTCCCCTCAGGGTCATCATCTGGGAAGAAGCCTCAGCACATGGCTATAGGGAGAATGAAGACTCAAACCTTAACACTTAGATCTGAGTGTGAAATCAATGCTATTTCCTTATTCCGGTAATTACACTGTGGTTATATCAGAGAATGTGTTTAAGACGCATACACAAAAGTGTTCAGATGTAAAGGGGACATCATATTTGCAACTTACCCTCCAATGGTTCAGTTAAAAATATGCACATATGTATACATCTGCGTATGACTGTGCTCATGCATACACAGAAATACAGCGACCACGGCAAAATGCTCACACTGGGGGAAACCTAGGGGAAGGGTATATAGGAATTTTTTTTGTTGTATTATTCTTGCAACTTTTAGGAAAGTCTGAAAATTACACAAGACAAAATTAAAAATTAAAATGACAACAAAAAGCAAGTGGACCCAGGGAGGCCTGATGATGACGAGCCAGGAAGAGGCCCAGAGGCAAGCAGGGTGCCGAGCCTGAGATTAGACTCTGTCCTGAGAAGCCTGGCATCTTCCTCCTGCAGAGCAGGCCCCATTGCGTCTCCCTAAGACCTTTATCCAAATCACCTTTAGAAGTAAATGGGTGGAGCACCACTGCTTGATCCCACCCCTTATCTTTCATTCAGGCCGTGTTTATCTGAGGTCAAACCCGAGATTAGGTTGTTGAAGTTATTCACAGGTGAGTCCCCCAGAACTGAGACAGTCACACATTTAACTCCACGTGACGTGTGGAAGGTGAAGGATCCTTCCATGGCCACGTGTGGTCAGTGGCCACACCTCACGGCAGAGTGAAGTTAGAAGGGAAGCCTCCTTTCATGAGAGAACTGTGTTTTCTCACTCAACTGGGTGGACTTCTGTCTGACTAACCAGGTGGACAAGTTACTGTGGCTTCTCACAGACACGGCCTGAGACCAGCTTCCTAAATTTTATCTTCCTGCTTCATCAGGATGACAGAAGCCAAAGAAAGAATACAAGTCTCAAAAGAGCAGGGTTTCACTTTAATTTTTTTTTTTTTTTAATGTTGAGCATGGAACCCAGGGCCTCACTCCTGCCAGGCAAGTGCTCTACCACTGAGCTGCACCCCAGCCCACTTTTTAAAAAATCTGGTGTATCCTGGAATTATGGGTGCCATTGCTACTGCAGATACTGAAGGATTCTTAAAGGTATTACTGAGATCTTAAACGGTTCACCTTGATTCTTGTGCACACGGCATCAGGTGAGGCTCTGTGAACTGAGCGCATGCTCCTTCCTCACAGAGCTTATATATCTGAGGAAACCCATGAGGGACCAGAGGAGACAGCACCACTGCATGCACTTGGGAAACCATCCAGCACGATACGAAATGAAGTATTCCATGATGGAGTTTGTGATCACCAAGATGCATCTGGAACTATAAATCATAAAGGAGTAAGAGGGACTCAGACCACAGTGTCCTACTAGGACACATAGCACCAACATCACGTCCCACAGGACTGGGCATTGGGAAGGGAGTGCAGGGCTATAAATAGGAAATGACAGTGCGTTTACAATATACACTAGCTCGCGCAGGCCGGATGGTGCTGATGGAATAAGGGAAAACGGGCAAACATAAATAGAGCGTGCGCATTGTGTACACACAGTGGAGCAAGGTTTCCTGTGGGTGGAGATGGAAACAGAAACCTCGCCTGCTGTAGAAAGGCAGGATGGTGTGGTAGAAAGTGCATCAGCTTCGGTGGGGGACTCAAATCTTCTGCTCACTAAGGGAAAACGGGGCAGGTAATCCAGAGTGAACCGTGCTTCCCAGTGTGGGGCTCGTGAAACTTTTGTTAGGACCAGATGCACTACTGCATAAAGCACCTAACAGAAGCAGCTGGTCTGTCAAGGCATCCCATGGTTAAGGTCTTATCTGTCTTTCCCCCAAACACTGCAGGCTTATAAAAGGGTTGTGCCTTAATGGTCCTGTATTGAAAATTCCTAGTAGTGTCTGACTCATGGTTCAGGAGATGTTGAAGCAATCAGAATCATGAAAACAGTTCCCTGAGATCATAATGGTGGCTTAGTATTAACTGCCTGTGTTCTCTGAACCCTGGCTGGGACCTTTCACAGATCACCTTATATTGTGTTCCTAACTCTTTGATTGTAAGTGTGAATATCCCACACAAACGGTGAGGATATGGGTGTTCTAAAACTTGCTCACACTTACACAGCTGGTAGTAGGGGCGCTGGCCTTGGCCAGCCAGACTGGGGGCTGTGCTGAACCAGCCATCCAGAGCTGCTCCCCTCCTGCATTTGCTGGGGAATCCTGTGGGCCAATAGGAGTTCCCGCAGCTGTCTGAGTACCAAAAAGGGAGAGAATCTGTGAAAGGGTAGGAGCATTCCAAGCGCAGACAAGGCGCCAGGGACAGCTCTGATGTGTGACCAAGAGTAGGGTGGGTGGGGATTGGAGACTCTGCATAGGCAGGAAGAGGCCCCTGATTTCTGGCTCTCCTCATCCAAGGGGCCCAGGCAGCAGTGGGCCAGAGCCATGTGCAGGTGGACAGAGGGGAGAAGAGCCTTCTTATGGTATCTCAGTGGTTAGAACCGGGTGCTGCTGGGGCCCAGAAGCCCAGAGATAGAGGGTAGAGCAGCAGGCTATGGATGGCTAGGAGTGGAGCCAGGAAGTGCTTCTGGAAGATGGATCAAGCTGTGATGCAGGATTTAATAAGCAGGGGCCGAGTTAGTTGCTCTCTTTAACACAGGGAGAAATGCAGCAATGCAGGGTCTACTGATGTAGGGGTCCCCAGGGACGCAGCACAGGGGTGGAGTACTCAGAATGTGTGAAGCCCTAAATTTGATTCCCAGCACTGCAATAAATAAATGAGTAAATGAATATGGGGTCCCTGTAGCTGGAACATCTTGGGTCACCTGCAAGGGCTCAGCTGTGTGATCTTAGAATGATTTAACCCCTCTGAGTCTCTATGTCCCTCTGCAGTACAGGGATGGCTTCTTCCTTGTGTGTGCAAGGTTAATACCTGTAGAACACTGGGTACCTAGTGAGCGATTGACAAATGTGACCTCTGATGGCAAATGAGTTTAAAAGAAAGTGTCACCAGTAGATACAAAACGTTTAGCTCAGCAGCTGTGCTTCATTTGGTTTTTCTTCCTGTTTTCTGCTGCTTCAGGATTTACATCCTCTAAATATTATATAGAATTTGCTGTTTACTGGGAGAGTGATTCCAGATGAGCTTTCAGGACCTTAATTTTAGCTCCCAGCAGGAAATATGGATGTCCTGTTGACCCATCTGAGTTAACAGGTCTGAAGCCAAACACATCTCCAGCTCCAGCTGTCCCAAATGTCTTCTTCCCTGGTTTCAAAGCCAGCACTGGCTCTCTGACCCACCCTCCAGGCACAAAACTTTGACCCAATTTTAACCTCATGTCTTTTCAGCTTCAATGTTAAATCTGTCATCAGGTCTTGTTCCTTCTTTCATTGTGACATCCCTTGGGTTCATTTCTTCTAGATGTACATCTCTTTCTTTCTCACTCTGCACACCCACTACCTGCTCCCCCCCCAGACCCCTAAAGACCCACTGTCTCTACTTTCAGATTAATGATCAACAGCTCGGTTAGGATACCACTTAAATCACTTATCTCACTTTGTCAAGAACTTTCAATACTTCTTTGAGTCTAAGCGGGAGTTCAAATTCCTAGATCTGTTATTCAAGACTTGGAGCAGACCCTCCCAAATTCTCTGCTGGGGGGTGTTCCCTAGCATCCACCTGGCTTAAGGCTCCACCTCCCCATTCCTTCCAGAAGGTCCTGTTCGATTCCCACCGCCCCTCACAAAGCTTTCCCTGGAATCTTTCCAGTTCTAATGTCTTATCACTTGGGGCTCCAGCGAACCTAACCTTGAATTGAGCGACACATTCTTGCCATTATCTTGGAGAATGGGACCCTATTTCTTGGGAACCCTCCACATTAAGGAGTTCTAAGATCAGGCACACAAAACTTGTGTGAATAGATGGATGAGTACAGGAACATGCTCCTGGTCCAGTCCCTTCTCCACTGATGGCCAGCGCTACCCAGTCTTCCCTTAGGAGGCTTGAGACCGGAACCAGAACCCCCCACCAGCACTGGGGTGCACTCGGTTCCTGGGTCCAGAGCGTTTCCAAGTCGCCTTCGCTCCAGGGGAGAGCCTGGCAGGGGGTCCACGGTGCGAGTCCCGCGCTTTGCTCTCTCCATCTGGACCCCTTCGGTGGGAACCCACCGTTGGTTCGGAACCGCCGGCACCAAGGCCCATGGCGCCAGAACGTGGGGGACCCGAGGTCCCCCCACCCTCCCCCTCGCCCTCCCGGTCGCCGCCAATGGCCATCGGGCCGTGTCCGTCGTGCTGGGTGGACGGGGCGGGGCCCTCTACATCTCGGCACGGCTCCCCTCCCGACTCCCGGGTGGGAAGGCTGGGAGGCGGAGGCGAGGAGGGGCTGCAGAGGGGCGTCCGGTTACGTCTCCGCCTCCCCAGCCGCGGGCCGCAGAGCCGCTTGCTGTGCGGGACAGCAGTTGGGTAACATGTTGGCGACGAGCCGCAGGCGCGGGGCTGTGTGGTTGCGGGCGCTGCTGCTGCAGCTGCTGCTGGCGGGGCCCGGGGGCTGCCTGAGCCGCCAGGAGCTCTTCCCCTTCGGTCCCGAACACGGCGACCTGGAGCTGGAGGACGGGGACGACCTCGTCTCCCCGGCCCTGGAGCTGAGCGGGGCGCTCCGCTTCTACGACAAGTCGGACATCACCTCGGTCTACGTGAGTCCGCGGGGCGGGAGAGCGCGGGACTGCGTGGGGTTGGCAGGAAGGCCGGGCGCGCCGGGGGCGCCGGCCGAGCGGGACGGACGTGGGCGTCGCAGGAGGGACTCGAGCCACAGGCCGCCGGGGCGCGGCGCTGGGTCTGCTAGCCGAAGGGTCTCGGGCCTGTCCCGGCCCGCCTGGGTCTCCCGCCTCAGGAGATGTTCCCCGAGGAGCACTCGCGTCTGGGCCGCACCGGGCACCAGGTCTGTCCGGTTCCGCGAGCGCTCTGCCCGGACGCCGGGACTCCGCGACCCCGGGAGTCAGGGCGGAGCTTCCTTCCCGCGGCCGTGGGCTGAGTCGCCTCCCGGAGGTCGTCGGGCGTCTCGCCTTTGTCCCGTGCCTGGCGTGGCAGGACCCGGCCGGGTGGGGCCAGGTGCGGACACCGAGCCTGGGTAGGAGAGTAGCCAAGTTAGGGTCCAGCCCGTGCGGGGGCACAGGGATTCCCGGGGGTGCCAGGCGGGAAAAGAGACGACCCGGCCCGGCCCCGCGCCCGGGCATTTAACCGACAGCCGCCTGCATCAGTGTGTGTGGACTGTGGATCCGACTTGGCAGTGATTCTGCTCTCTGCTGGGCGCCGTTCAGTGTCCAGAGGTCAGGGCTGGGAACGCAGGGCGCCTGGGTGAGCCAATTTCCTGTGGCCGACATTGTCACCCCGGGGGGCCCACATGAGGAGCGAGGCCAGACAACCTTTAGCTCTCCTTCCCTGAACTGGCCGGGCCTGGGGACATTGTCAACTTGGTCAAGCCCTGCGGTGCCGCTGCCTCCCCAGCCAAGCACCATGTGGATTTCATAAAAGCAGCGTGCATTCCAGAAGTGGGGAACTACACAAACAGCGCCTGGAGCCTGTCCCGCTGGTGAAGCTGCTGGGCTCTGCCCGCCTGACAGAGTGCGCTTGGGATAACACCCTCGTGGGGCTTGTCAGTTGAGTCCTTAGTCCCTGACCCACGAAGAGCTCTCAGCCCTTCCGGTTGACTGCCCTGCCCCCTGGGCATTCTGACCCGGTCTGTAGACCCCTTTGCAGCATAATGCTTTTGAATGCACGAAGTAAAATCTGAGAGATTACCCAAGAGATCTCACATGTTGAAATACAGATCAAAATATAAAAGAATGTATGGAGTGGTGTTCTTACTTTTAACCATATTAAATAACAAGGTGGAACAGTGGATTCAAGGGTGGGCCAGGCAGCTATTGAACCTTGAAGATCCTGAGGACTGTAAATACCTGCAGCAACTATAATTTGATGTGGAAAGGCCTGTGAATTTTGTTAGGGTCAGAATCACTAAGTGCTACTGCTGTTGTGCTTAGTTACCTACATTCAGGTTGAAGGAAATACTAAATATCAGTTAGTAGCTACAGAAAATAAACACGAAAATTTCTCATGTAAGAAAGCAGACTCAATGGAACCACCTGGCAGTGGAATGATCCAGGGTAGCCTTGGTAGGGGTTTGGGATGATTTGCTCTGCTTCATCCACCTCTCACCTTCCACAGCTGTTCTTTCTAACACAGTAGCCACTACCCAGAGGTATTTCTCTAAATGAATGGCCACAAAATAATACGAAAGTTTTGGTCATAGTAGCCACATTTCAAGAGCCCAGCACCCTCATTGGCAAATGGCAACTATGTTGTACACTGACACTCTAGAACATTTCTAGCATTGCTAAGAGTTTTGCTGGACAGTGCTGCCTCCCAGGGCCAGTTGAGACTCATCCTTCTTTCATGTCAAAGGCACAGGAGAGATAGTGGAAGGACCTGAGTGCCTTCTCAAATCTCGGCTTGGGCCACGCCTGCTGACATCTCATGGACTACAGCAAGTCAGGTAACTGTACCCAGGGTCAGTTGGGAAGCCAGTCATCCTATCCATGGTGGTAACCAGCAGGGGGACAGGGAGGGGGAAGAACTGAAGCCAAGTGATATAATTTGCTGTGTGGAGAGTCATGGAAGGTGGCTGGAAGGTCATGGTTGGAAGCTTGGGTAATGGTAGCTCCTCTGTTTTGCATATCTGTCTGCCGGTGATTTGCAAGATGGCCTAGACAAGCAGGTGAGGGAGAGTTTGGAAGCAGAAACCAGTGTCGTAAGAGGCTGGTTTATCCTGGCACGTGGGCAAGAGGCCTGCAGAAGGGGGGGAAGGGAAGGAGAGGGTGGATCTGAGAGGTGATCTGTCAGGTCACCTAAGGGACATGAAGAAGGCAGACAAGGATGGGGTGGCTGGCCAGAAGGGCTGACTCAAGTGAGAAGTCATTAGCCCAAGTTTGACAATGGCTTTGGAGACCAGAAACGGGACCAGAACATGGAGATGCCCTGGAACTAGCAGACCCTCAAGCAACCAGTTGGATTAGGGAGGAAGTGGAAGCCTGCAGACAGTGGTTTGCAAAGGGGAATAGGATAGGAAGAAAAACTGAATTTGGAGCCCTGGAAAACGATACCTGCTATCAATGTTGTGCCAAGGCAGCTGTTCTCAGTGTGCCACTTGGAAGAAGGGACCCCTGCTTCTGGTCTGCCCAAAGTTGTTCAGTGACTGTGGTTGAATGGCAGAATCCAAAACAGAGTTTTCATCTCCAGGGTCCCTGGGTGCCCTGAAACTTTTACAAGGAATTTATAAGTTTGAAACTCTTTTCCTAATCATGCCAAGGTGATACTTGCTTTTGATACTCTCATGGTCTCACACATATAAAGTGAAGCTCACCAGAGGCTACATGATGCATGCATGATATCACCACAGATCAAATGAAGAAGCAGATGTGAGACTCCAGCTGCCTTCCAGTGAGCCAGACATCAGGCTGATTAGAAAAAAGTAAAATGATAACTCTTCTCTTCCTAGGTACTTTTGAATTGGAAAATGTAATTATTTTCATTAAAAATCTCATTTATCATATCATGAGTTCATTACTTAAATGTTACCAACATTTAAATATTTCTCAGCTTTAATTTCTCATAGGATAAATATGGATTGTAATAATTTATATAAAACAAGTCTTTGGGACTCTTCAAACTACATTAGGAGTGTAAAGGATCCTGAGACCCAGTGTCTGTTGGAGTTCTGTTGGTCTGGTGGGATCCGGACATCATATAGGTATATGAGGTCCTCAAAGGCAGGAGGAGAACATTGCTGGGCAGTGCCCCAGGTGCCATCTTGGTTTACCAATTTCCTCCTGTGGCTCACGTGGGCTCCCTCTGTGAGGAAGCCTCATTCTCCCCATGGAATGACCTCTGAGCTTTGGATAGTAAGTCAGCACAATCTACCAATAAGACCAGCCATTCTCCAGATTTCATTTTGGGTCTCATCACCTACCTCTCTGAGCCACTGGACGTTTCACTTGAGCTCTGTTGCCTTGGCCAATGAACCTTGAACTCCCTGGGTGAGAGTTTTTCAAAATCATAACAAGGTTGAACAGAGCAATGAAAACATGTTCTTCCTTTGACTGGATTTTTATTATGTCAGTTTATTTATGCTAGGAATCTCATGCTGATTTGAAACTTTCATTGGGGGTGTAGATCAATAGAAGAATTTCTGGAACATAATTTTATTGCATATTAAGTTATTTGTCTTTGATTCATAAAAATTGAGAAATGAATTAATTGTTATTATTTAATGCATTTAGGGTTTTTTTTTTTGTAGATAAAAAAATCCTCATGCCATGGAAAAATAATCAAAGGATATCCTTGGTAGCAAAAAGATCATAGGTCTCTATCCTGACTCATCTCTGTGCCTCTGGTTTCCTTCCCCCTGCTTCCCTTTCTCTTCTCTGTCAGTCTCTCTCTCTCTTTCTTTTTCTCAAATACACACACACACACACACACACACACACTGTCCTCTAGATGTTTCAGGTATAGAGTGGCCACATTTACTGGCAGTCAGGAAGTTTATGGATTGACTGGTCAAGCACAGGGCCACCACTTAGGGCTGCGCAGGCTGTTCACTGCACACGAAGGGTTCTGGCCCAGGACACAGTAGGGCTAAAATCCTGCCCACACCCTGTTCACCCAGCCCTGAACCTCAGCCTGGAACTGGGGCCACTTGGAAAAAGGGACCCCTGCTTCTGGTCTGCCAGAAGTTGCTCAGTGACTATGGTTGAATGGCAGAATCCAAAACAGAGTTTTCATCCCTAGTGGAGGCGAAAATGCAGCTGATTAATTGAGGAGGCTATCTATTGCAAAGAATACCAGCTGGGGGCATGCCTTTGACCTGGGACAGACAGGGGGGAGCTAAGCCCTGGGGGGTCCAAGGAGGTGCCTTGTAGACCGACCTCTCCTCACCAACTTACAATTGATAGAAAATCATTTCCTTTCTCAGCCTCTTGTCAACCTGGTGTTTTTACATATAAAATGAAAGGGTTCAACAAGGTTATCCCCTAAGCATTTCATTTTGAATCTTGAATTCGGTTTGATTGGTGACCCCTGCCGTGTAGGCAGTTTAACGTTTTCAAGATGCTGGGTATCCTTATTGCTATAATGTGAAATGCAGTCCAGTGTTAAGATCCGTCATTCATTCACTCCATAAATACTTAATGTGTCCCCTAGTATGCCAGGCATAGTGCGAGGAGGATTTGGACAGAAATTGAAAGTAGATCATGTGTTTCTATCCTCCCAGAGCCTACAGGATCATGAGGACGGTGGACATTGAGCCAGTGGTGACACAGTGCCCATGTGCCACTGTGCCGGAAGAAGAAACTCAGGGTGCGATGTGCTGGCGGGAAGCCTGGGGAGAGGCCTGAGACCCTCTCCAACAGGGCAGGGACAAAGGGTGACAGAGCTTTGCTTGGGGGCGGGAGGGCAGGTGGCAGGAGGGAGCCTCACCTTATTCAGTCAGGGATTCAAAAAAGGACCATGCTTATGAGTTGCTGTTTTCCCCTTTTGATTAATCTGTTTATTGAGAATCACTGCCTGTCATCCTTGGGCATTTCTGTGTCATGTAGCTTAGTGTGTTATTTCATTTTTGCATTTCCTCTAAGTGGGTCAT